GAACAGCGCATAAATCTAGACCGAAGACTGGCAGGTAATATTTGCTCAAAAAAAAAATCTTAATCTTTCATTTGATCAAGAAGACGTGCAAAATTTGACCTGAATTCATTTATAGTTTTCATCGACTATAGTTACATTTTTCAATGCATTAAATATTGGCCAACCGCCTTTCCTTCCCTCCCCCAGAAACTCACCCTTCACGTTCTAATGTTTTAGATTTGTGAATGCCAGAGCAATGCTGTTCATTGGTTTATTACTCATCTACATAAAAGCATGAATCAAGCCTCAGATTAGACAGATAGCATCAAAATTCCCAAGCACAAGCTGTGTGATAATCACCTAATGCAGCAATTGTCAAAATTGCTAAAGCAATTTGTCAAAATTTCTGAAGATGCAGCCATCCAACAGAATGAAGGTTCACTTCTGAAAATTAAGGTTCACTTCTGACAACCAGGGATCAGATAGGAAGCAAATAAGGAAAATTTTCATCTTTGCCCCTGGCCTGTAAAGAACATAAGATCAAGCTCCTTATGAAGACAAAAGAGCCCAGTGAACAAGGGCTGTACGGCTGAATTGTGGGCAGTAGGGTGATCTCGTGAAAAGTTCCCGCAGGTTTCAGAGAGCAGCAAATACAGGACATGCCCTGAGACTGAATCAGGAAAGTATCCCCTGTTTAGCAAAGGGCTTAAATGTCAGGTGACCTTAAGCCTATGCTTAAAGTAAAACACATGGCAAGGTGCTTTACTGAATCAGTGCACTCAGAGTAAATAAAAATAGGAAAAGGTATGGGCATGTAGCTTTGAAGATGTTAACTTTGTTTAAAAACTGTTCTGCCTAAAATAAGCCTGGACAATAGCAGAGAGCTGTAGTCACACTTAGCAGAGATGTTTAAGACTGGTATAACATTATGGGCATGCATAGCTTCAGGACTTCTAAAACATGGACTAAAAGGTGACCCCAAGAAGTATGACTAGATCCTACCAAAATAATCAAAAGTTAGATGCAACTTCGCATTTGTGATCGCTTACATGTATCTGTATAGTTCTGTGGTTGGAACGTTTCTGGAACAGGACTTGGGCTGCAAGTTGTCAAAACTACTATTAGCGTAAGTAAACAGAGCCGTGCTGCTCCATTAAGCATGCTTCCAGGACTAAAGTCGCAAAAATAATTTTGGTGCAGTTTTTAAAGCTATTCTTTAGTGAGTGGCTCCAAGGAATTTATTTCTTGTAGAAGTCTAAGCTTTAAAATTTGAGAACCTGCACTGCCAAAAAGGGAAGCATGGACAAGCAAAACTGAAAAAGATTATATATCTAGAAAATTTGCACAGCTTTTTGAGAAAAGGGCTGAGATTGTTGCCTTTTAAAGAAAAGTTTCCCAAGAACAACTTTATTGAAATGAAAAACCTGCTGAAAGAATACTCAGTTCCCAGAGAAACCTGCTGCACGTGCACAGGGCCCACACAATAAACTGAAGAGTTATGAAAGGAATTCATAATGCCAGTTCCTCTTAAGCTGTATTAGGGAACCCTAAATTGCCATATTTCTGCTAACAAAATAGCCACGAAAGGGCAAGTACCCATGGGAAGTTAGCCAGTTTCCTGCTTTGCAAGACAGCCTTGGGAACAGAACTGCATAATGTGTTTTAACTAATGCACATCCTGGCCTCCACCAGTTTGGTACTCCGGGCACAGCTCTGTGTATTCAAGGAACCAAAATCACCATACAAGCTATTAATTAACCAGCAGCCAGCAAAGCAGGACTGTTCTGGTTTTGCTGGGCAGCCCTACGGCCCCAACAGGGCTCAGTCGCAGCTGGCTTGAGTTTGATTCTGGTTTCAGTAGATTTAGGCTACACAGTGCTCATGCTCCACTCCAGCACCTAAGCTTCCCCCTAAACCTCTTTTAATAACCAAGGTAGTATAACTCCATGTATACAAATCTTTACTTTCACCCTCCTGAGGTCATCTAAATTGCGAGTGCCTACAGTGAATCCACATTAAAAATGAACAGTAAAAACGTATCTATTTTCATTCACAACAGAACGTCAGTTATCCTCCTTACAAATCATACTAATCTAACCGATTTACGGACTGATTTACAGCAAAAATGCAAAACCGAGGTGTAACTATCTCCTCGGTGATTTTATTGTAAATGTTTACGTCAAGCATCAGGTACAGAACAGAGTCCACTGAGAAGACATGCAGGCTATGATGATTTTCTAGAGATTTGAGCTCCTGCTTTCCACAGAGTTCATAGCTACAGCATTCAAAGCCCTGAGGTTCGGTTTCAGAACAGTCCATTTTTACTTGAAATGTAAGTTATGTACAAAGCACAGATCCATCGCATCACAGAAAATGAAATTCTTTTCTTGTTCCATAACATGTAGCGCACACTACCGTTTAAGCTGAATGAGTTAACTGCGGTGGCACACTTTGGAGACACACATGCAAGCGCTTGTTATTTGCTACGCCTCTAGTCACAGCAAGGCTTCTGACATTTTTACTTTCTTGTTTCTCAGCACTTTTGATAATTCAGGACGTCTCTTCAGTGTATCAAGTCAGTCAAGCACATCTCAGGAACGGTGCAAGGAAATTCTGTATCAGGAAGGTAACCTCGTCTTTATCAGAACATAACAGAACCTGGAATCCCATAAAAGCCTTGTTCACTGGCAGGAATGAAATAAGTCCCTGAATGAAATAAATGACTTTGAATTACAGTTCAAGAATGTTGCAAAGACTTGATGAAGCCTATTGCTTTTCACTGGATAAAATCTATTACCTTAGGCAACTTCTACTATATGCCATTTAGCCCAGAACGTAAGCAAGACCTGCCTTGGAAGGGGAATAATCTCAGAGAAGACCTCATGCTCAGACTGGGTTAGCTGCCTGAATGTTGGTGCTCAGCTCTCACAACTAAATTACTTTTCCCAGAAGTCTTTTGAGGAAATGATGAAACTTGTAGGTGTGACTCCAGTGTTTAAGTTTCACATCTGTAAGAAAATATAAAACTGACCAGTAGGAAAGTTTGTTTGTTTGTTTGTTTTAATTTAGAAATTGAATTTCACATCCTACATAGATTTTTAAGGCTAAGATTGTTTAAACATTTTTTTGAATAATTTTAATGAGAGTTCCATTATATTCAAATAGTAAGATAAACTTAGAGCACTTACAGACAATTTCTGAAAAATAAAAGGCTCTTGCTGAGGTGGGGGGGAGAGTGTCCTACACATACCATTAACCTTAGAAGATGACCAGCTAGCAAGCTTCAACATCCCCGAGGTGTTCTGCTCAAGGTGCCAAAACACATGCCTTGCAGAATTACCAGAGAGCAAGCAGAAAGCGTATCTGGATGCCCTTTGCAAACATTTGACTTTGAAACACCAGAAACACCAAACAACACTATCTAAAGGAAATACACACTGCAGATTTTTTCATGGGAAAGTAGAAATCAAATAGGAGCCTTGGGAAACCCACAAAGTGATTTTGACATGGTCTTGCTCAAGGAGTCTTACATAGTTCAGCTTCATTTTGAGCACAAATCAGCTGCCTAAACACAAATCTAGTATCTCCTGTCTTTTGAGGTGCCTTAGCAGAGCCTGTACAGCATTCAGCAGCTGGTCCAGAAGGATGTCCTCTCCCATAGATACTATGTTATTCCTGCTAACTGCTAGAGCATCTCAGCACCACATCTGTATCCTGAGCCCTAGGTGTCTGAGTTCAAACTACCTTACACTGCACAGCAGCCCAAAGCAGCTTAAAAGTCCAATTCCCAATGTCCAATTCCCTGGACCTAGCAGAAACTTCACCACTCACCTGACAGTGGAAAGCACAAAGCGACATGATATTCATAATATTCAAATATGCGTATGCAAAATGAAGCAAGCCAATGCAAAGCAGCAGGAAGCAGAAAGGAACAAATTTCTGAGTTAGAAAGGACAAGCTCATGGTCAACGACGGTAAAAACAAGAAATGCTTATAACTATACGAAAGTTGTGACTCGTTATCAAACAGTTATATCCGGAAAAGGCTCACTTTCTTTTTGAAGGTGACACTTCTGCTTGTTATCCTCTGAAACGTTATTACTGGAAGAGTGGCAAGCATTGCAGTGTCAGCCAAGTCTAATGTAACACTCCTAACGTTGAAACAGTGAGCATCATTCTGACTACCACTACCTTATTTTCTTGCGAGTTTTCTCCTACTACGGGGTTTACTTCTAACACTACTCTGTATATGTACTGTGCTACCAAAGCAGGGGACAGACCTCCTCTCTGCCAAGCACCGTGCACAGAGGCACAGATAACAGGCAGATAATCCCCACCTTGTCCATTTCCGACTAAGCCAAAAATCAACAGGCAGGTGAAACAAACAGAAATTGGGACCACAAGGAAACAGGGGCCCTACTTGTTAGCAGGACAGACAAGGACCTCAGTATTGCCAACTGCCTAACCGCCACCCAGTTTGCAGTAGCTTTGCAGAAAGGAAGAGTTTTAAATAGAGGTTTGAGGAAGATCACCGAGGTGATGACTAGTATATTCACAGCCAACTCCCCAGTTGCACAGGAGTAAGTACAAAAGGTGCTTGCTCAGAAGCTTGCCGAAGCTCAGATCCTGACACGCGTTTTCCATTTACACCTAGACAGACATCTAGTAGCACAGCCCAGGGCTCATCAGTGGAAACTTGAAAGGAAACCACCTCAGCGGGTCAGGTCTGCACATCTCTGGGTCCTACTGGTGCCACCAGCTCCCCGGGCTGAGGGGATGGGTGACCCTGGCCCTCAGCGTGCCAGATAGGAAGGCCATTCCCATCCTGCCTGCCCCAAACCGCAGAAGGAATGAGAAATCAGAGGCAGGATTGTTTTAGGCGTTAATAGCCGAATCACCTTAGCCACTCAGGGTTTTCAGGTGCTGCATTTGAACACCACCAGCCACACGAGTTGTGTGGGGGCACCGCTGGCAGGGAGGGTGGCAAACTAAGGTTTCCCCACTGATCCCCCGGCACCTTACCTTGACGAAGAGGGAGATGTCATGTTCCTGCTTCTCTTCCTCCTCCTCCTCCTCCTGCTCCGGGACAGCCAGCGAGCCTG